CATCCCAGTATAGTTAACAACACGTAAAAAGTGGAAAAGTAAAAAGTATTTGAGCCACATTAATTTGGGGGGGGGGGGGGGTACACCCGTCCTGGGCCACGATACACCATGGGTACACCTAGACCCGGCCGGTACGTGGCTTGTATACATATCCACGTGATACACCATGCAGCTCTGCATACATTATCCACGTGACCATAGTGACGTGACCATATCGTCACCAGTCGTCAAAAAATCACCAATTATACATTTAGGCCTAACACTTCATCTGAAACGTTTAAATACAAAACAGTATTCATTATCCAACAGACATTTACAAATACAAGCTAAACAAAACAATCTGCTAACATCACTAAATTTTCCGCTAACAAAACTGCTCTTATATCGCAGGTCGTACCTCGAAAGCTGATATATGGTTCTGGGTACTATACTTTATACAGTACATGCACTAGGTTTGTTCGTAGCAAAGATCCTAGAGCGCGTTCGTAGACATGTTCTGAGGCACCATACTAACACAAATAAGAGGGCGCTCTACTAGGCCAAGTTCGCGCAAGGACTATAGTTGACCAATGGTTAACTAACGTTTGCCCGAACTCTGTCTAGTCGACGGCGGTTGACTACGCTAGTCGACTATTTGGAACCAGCCTACTAGCTGGTGTTGGTTGCTTCGCTGGTAACCAATAGCCGCGCGCATTCATAACGCTAGCAGAGAGCCAGGATCCAGCAGTTTTGCGATGACATTTTGACCAGCGTTTGACAAGAGACGTTCCGTCACGTTGCTATTAGTGCGCAGGCGTAAGGTATGTCACAAAACAACCACTAGTCGACTAATGGTCCTTGCCTGAGCTTGGCCCTAGTTTTGTCCTTAAAACCACTGGCGGTATAACGTATACACCGCCACGCGCGGTTTGTGTGCACGTAGCACTACGAAACCATGGGCCCAGCCCCAATCAACCACAATGCACCCGCAAGTGTACTGCTAAACTGTCCAACAGTTCGCCCGCGCGTAGCATATAGCGCCAAACACCATATAGCAATACACACCACAGCGAGAGCACACTCAACTCATGTTTGTATAGCTCGCTGCCACTTGCCAGATACTACATGAACTGTCATTGCTTTTCTTTTCATTCATTATTTGTATAATTTCGTTCCCTTAAATAGGTTATTTTTACAGCAATTTAGGGCATTTTTCTTTTGTAGTTTGGAAATGTGGTTTGGAGAATTTTGTTTCTCAAAGGAAAACAAGTATCGATGAATGTAATATCGCTTCAATTGTGCATAATAGTGGTAAAGATCTGGCGATTTTTCGTTTAAACGGAAGGGCACAATTTTGAAAGAGAGAGACCTAAAATTAGAGATAATCTTGGAAGATAAGAAGGGTATAATACAATTTTAAAAGGTTACGTATTGTAAGGTTGTGTGTTTACATTTTTTTTTTATGGATGTGACCTTATATCAGGAGTGTGGTTTTGTTTTGGAACATACAGAGGTGAAGGGATAACTATATTGTCGAAAATGTGTAGGTACACGTTGACGTTCGGGCTATTTTTGCCCTCCTGGTTGCTACTTCGGGGTAACCTTATGACCCGAAATCACTTTCTTCGGCGATTATGATGCTCATGGACTTTTTGTCTTTAAATTGTATACAAACAGCTAGAAAACAGAACCAAAACCGAAAGAATTGTAGGGGTGGGGCGTTGGGTACGAGAAATGTGTCAGTGTTTCTGGGCGGTAAAATAACGTCGGTACAGATGATGACGTTAACTTGACTACGAGACTTTGCCTAACAGACGGAAAGAAATACAAAGTGGGTAGTTTGTTCACTTTTCATGCATTTTATTTATGGGCGGGGGACAATCAAACTTGAACTGACAGCAGGTCGTTTCGTTCATCTCATCTTTACACAAAGCACATCGGCCGATGAAATACAAATTAAGCTAGAAATGTGTTTGTGTACGAAAACAAGCTGTTTCGTCTGTGAGATGTGAAGACTCATCGTAATATTTCATCATGAATTCACGGTGTCATTATAAATGTCATATACATGAATAATACACAACACTTTACACAAAGTACAACCGAATCAGACCTTTACTTCTCGCGAGACCTCAGCAAATTGCGCCTTAAATGTGAGGTCACATGACACGTCATCACAACTTAAATTTACATTTATAACACGTTCCTGTCTGTAATGATTCAACCCAATTGGATTTGTCTTCAGGAGATGTCTTCAGGAGATATAGGGCTTTCAAAAATGCACCTTTAATGTGACGCAGCTTGACACCTGATGACGCCATGGTGACAAGAATCTTTGGGGACCATCTGCGGATGTCGGTCTATCTGTATACTGAGTCTGAAGTCGAAATTCCATCTACAATCGCGATGTTTAATGATGACCTGGATGTTCAATACTAACATATGAGGTTATCCGAGAACTTGGCACAGGAGCTGTCGTTGCCAAGAAATTCGAGAAAAATTTAGACCCGATGAAGATTTTGGGTTCAGCGGAATTTCTGAAAAGTCACGCACGGTCGACTGAATCCTTTACATGCTGGAACAATAGGAGTCCTCCGGGGTACCTGTTGAATCGTATGCGCATGCGCTGAAAAATAACAATGATTCATGTTTGTAACCCTATAAATAATTCAACCAAGGCCTCACAAAATGTTAGAAAAAGGTCTCGCGCCGAGTTCGCCCAGGCTCCGCTCCGCTTCGTGGCTTCGCAGCTTCACCAAAGCCAAGATAGCTAGTATGGCGCAAGGTTCCACTGTTTAGTAAACGCTCCAAGCCATTTGACGGCATTTCAACAAATGACGCAGTAAATGTCAACATCCCTAGATAATGTTTTCAAGATCCCTTTAGAATGTTTCAGGAGGAAACTAACCAAGTACCTACTAAATGGGTCGTTCATCGCGTCATCTATTCATAAATGTACAATATTGGTGTATCCCTCAATGAGATCAATATGGCTGCCTCTTAGCTTCTCTTTACGATAACTCGTCGATATTCACACAGAACTACGAATATTTGGGAAATATTCTCTTTTATTCTTTTCTTTTCTCTACTCTAGATTCCTGCTTTCACAAAAGCTAACCTCCACTGTATTTGACCTCTAAAAGTTTGTAATTTTGGGAGTCTGATAAACCTGTACATCCACAGCAATAAGGCATCACATTGATAAAAATTGTCCAACACTGTACTAACAATATTACAATATATTGGCAATAAAATGTTACTTTGCCGTAACAATACACTATACATCTAACACCAAAATGTACACCTAAATTATTGTACAATGATTTAATATCGTGACTTAAATTGTCTTGTATTTACAGCAAAATACCACAGTGAATACCATCTAGAATCAAAAGTCCCATCATACTCGGCACAAAAGCGAACGCGAACGCGAGTTTGTGTTGTCACGGCAATTTGCCGCACTGTAAGTTGGCAAAAGAAAAACCACACTTTTCAACTCAGGCGAATTTATCGGCGAATGCTTCCTGACGGCAGATGCACTTGGCAATCGAGTTCGAGTGTAGTATGAACCGGCCCTTATTCAAACAGTTTGATTACTAAAATATTTCAATTATCGAGAGGTTTCTCAGTTCCCACAATTCACTTTGATTTTGCGAGTTTATTGTTTTGGTCAATTATGTATTGCGTTTTTAACAGTTCATTTTTCTATTCTTTTTTAATTCTGTATTTCGAACAATGTATGAACATAATACATTGTATTGAAGATTTAAGATGGCAGCACAGCTTAATATATATTTTGTTTTTACTGTACAACAAAGTACTACAATTATAGTTTAGACGTTTCTACTTAAAGCGAAAATACTATGACAAAAAGGAAAATGAAAACCGCTATAACTTTTCAAGAGATACACAAGGCCAAGTTTTCACACGTACCGCGCTTTCACTTTTCTCAAGATACAAATTCACGCAAGGGCCCCTATAGTGATTATTCCAAATCCTCAGTTTGTTTTTGCTTTCTGAAAAATATTCCTCTTACCAAATATCGTCGCTTTGCTCACGAAGTGACAAAAACCTCAAAATTTGACAAAAGTTCATTCTGAGATAATCGCATTTGAAGTTATTCATTTTTTCAAAAGACATTTTCGACCACTTTGCAGTAACAGAATTCGGAAGTTTTGCATTGTCCGATAGGATATGATTTGCTCTTTGTTATTTCATAATTGTTTGTTAGAAATAGTTAGTAATTAAACAGTAATTCATTAATAAAACTTTTTTGCACTTCGTGAGAACATCAATATTTTGGGTACCATATTTTGCCAATTAGTTTGTACACAGTTTTTGTCACTTCGTGGGATCATGAATCGCAGAGGCTTTACTTATTTTGTACTTTTTTCGACGCAACAAACTTGTTAATTTTGCGCGTCACGACAGTTGAGCGAGGGCGCGTATGTTCTTTTTCAACATCGTTCGCGCACGCGTGTATGCTCCCATCCTGCCCCGTGTAAACCATTGTATAATTATTTTCTGTGTTCTGGCCCTGCTCACGAGCTGACTCTTTGTCACTTCGTGGGAACATGAATCGCGGAGGCTTTACTTATTTGTACTTTTGACGACATTTTGTTACTTTTGCGCGTCATACGATGGGTGAGCACGCGCGCGTCTGTTCTTTTTCAACATCGTTCGCACGCGCATGTATGCTCCCATCCCGCCGCGTGTAAACCAATGTATAATTCCTCCGGCCCTGCTCACGAGGTGAATTTTTGTCACTTCGTGAGAACATTTTACACTTTTTTACATTTCGTAAGAATGAAAATTTACGATTTCAGGCTTTTTGTCAATTGTTTGTTTACAATAATTAAGAAAGTAAACAAGATTTTGCCTTGAAACTTGGTCAAATTGTTCCTTGAGACAACTTTAATAAAATGGCCAGTAAAACTCAAAATCGAATAATTATCGATTTTCGAGGTTTTTGTCACTTCGTGAGCAAAGCGACGATATACTAATTTTTCTAATAATCAATATTCAATATAGTTGTCGAATTTCTTTTGCATTGAATGAAATGTCAGCGCTGTCGAACACAATAACCTGAATGCTTCAGCTGAATTAATCACGGCGACATCCAAGCAGCTCCAATCGCAGAGCAGCATGCACATACCGTTCAATAAGCTCAATGCGGACTACCGTGGCGACCACACTCTCAGCAAACAGGTTAGTGACCGGGGTTTGGCCATCAGTGTTACCGATGAACACCTGAAATGAATCCCAATGCAATTAACGCACGTTAGCAACAAAAGTAGCCTTCTTGCAGTAACGTCTTAGACCAAGACCATTAAAAGAGCGGGCAATCTCAACAGAGGGAGTCGTCCTTCCAAACAGAATGCCAACAAACCGTAAATATATAAAAAAGTAAACTGTGTGTCCTGGGTGGGACTCACTTTTAAGTTCATATTCAGCCATATAAACCTCACTAGACTGGGCTCCATGGGTTATTACTTCAGCTTCAGAGCATTTTACCTTTTTTTTAATAAAAGCAATTTTCTCATGAATAACCTTTCTATATAGGAGAATGTAGCATCAATATTTTCTGTCGTTGCTTCTTTGGTTGCTATAATAAGACATGATTTCAGAATGGATAAATGATTGCATTAGCATGGAACCGAATAACGTCGTACAGAATAAAGCTATCAAAATGCGAGAAAAGCCCAAACGAAATTATAATTTAAAGAAACAGTTACGTGTACAATATTTTTTGTAACTGTCCAACGTATAACAGTTAAATTCAGCTTACAGCAAGACTTAGTCACGATTGATACTCACCTTGATATTTCCGTTTCCATCTGTTACGTGTTCATAGTCAGATGAGGGCTGCTTCTTGTACGCCACCTTGTACTTCTTCACATCTTGATAGTGGTGGCCTTGTGTGATGACCCCGCTCACCACTGTAGGCTCAACGAGGTTCACCTCGATCCAGGGATTGGCATCGTTACTGTACACAGAGGGAAGAGAGGATGAGGAACAATGAAATAACAATACTCCGCAAATCCGGTTGTGGAATGGATTTGAAAATTGAACACAGTTATTGAAACTTGTTACAGTGTGCAATTCAAATGCGCATCCGGGTTGGGCTTTGGCCGGGGATGATATTTGTTTTATAATGAAAAAGAAAACTAAACAAGAACAAGATTGTTGAACAAAATAAAACAAAACGCAGGGGCGGATCCAGACTGCCGTTTGCCGGGGGGGCTAGAATTGTAATGAAGGGTCCAGGACCTTCGAGCGCGGAGTGCGAAGCCCTTACGGCGTGGGGTCCGGGGACCACTTAAGGGCCCCGGAAAAAAAATTGGATTTTAGATGCTCTGTGGTGCAATTTGAGGAGATTCCTGGCCACTTTCTACCGTTTAGAAAACGTTTTAAACATCGAAAATTCCATTTAAATTTGTGATTGTTTTGTTCTTTATAAAGTTTGTTATGCACTCAACGTTGAGAACCATGTTCCATCTCCGTAGTTTTTAACAACTTCTAATTTTGGAAAGGGATTAAGGCCACTTGCAGTCCGAGCCTCAGCCATTCGCTGCTGAAGGTACAAAAAAGGTGGGGGCACCGCTAGGGGAGATTATAGCATAGAAGAAATTTGGGAGGAGGACTAATGCGAGCGCGGAGCACGGAGCGCGAAGCCCGTATGGCATGATGGGGTCCGGGGCCCGCTTAAAGCTATTATATAGTCCATCATTTGTAATTAGTGCATTTTGTTCGTTTGAAGCAACAAAAGTGTTCAAAATCTAATGAAGGATACTGAACAACTTACTTGATGAAGTTTCAGCTCAGCTTCAGCTTTATATTCCGAGAAAACAGCATTCTAGGATCTCAATTTCAAATCAAAAGTTGCTAAATCATGTTTCGAATTGTTTTGAATTGCAGCTATACGCGATGTAGCGCACTGATCCGACGAATTATAGCAACCGCGCGCGCCTGTGCGTCGTTCCAATGCTTGTGCGCGCTGCGCCGAATAACAAAACGAACTACTAATTTAAATTTTCCTACGGTGCTTCTTAAGATGCACCGTTGGAAATGCCCTCTTTCGTTGATTTCTTCAAAATGAGAGCTTGCCATAAAGGATAATTTCACAGGGAGTTTAGTCCCCTTACTATCTTTCAACCAGTATGTTTTTCGCCAGTTACTTTTTTTGATAGCTGCAAATGATGGACTCGGGCTTTAAAATTATAAGGGGATATTTTGTTTCATTTGTTTCAAATACATATAGGCCTATATACTCTTGCTCTTATGAAGTTTCTTCTGCATTCAAAGACTTAAGTTGAGAACATGCACATAATTTGTAATTGTTCCGCGCTCGGTCACATAACTGACATGAATTTGAATATTTCATTACAGCGGATCCATATTTTGGGAGTGTGACAAACTGGCATGAAACATATCAAAAAAATATTTTGATAGAATCTGAAGTGGCCATTGTTTGATTTTGTTTAGTCACCAAGCCCAGAGCGTGAAAACGGTTTGACCTTCATACGCATTGTACGCGGCAGTTGTCCGCGTGCAGTCTCATGGACGTATGACGCGCTAAAAAATACGCGAAATGAGACTCCACTACAGTTTGTTTTACCTTGGTTTTATCCGCGTATCGTGCGGCCATCATAACCCGCGCATAAAGTCTTAGGAGGTGCGTGAAAATTGCAACGCCTTTTGCAAACTCAAAACGGGTGGCTCGTCGGATCACCGTCCGTTTTTCACCGATAGTATACATTTTAAAATATTTTGCGGGGGGGACGTGCCCCCCCTCCCCCCCCCCCCCCGCCCGCTGGATCCGCCAATGAAACATAACATAAAAAAACAACATTGATTCAATTAGATGTTCATTAATTAAACACATTCAGGAGCGTTTTGTGGCATTGTAATGATACAGAGGGAATATAGATATGAGAGTTACGTGTCAGGTGTTGTATTTCCCTTTGATACATACCTATTGGCTATCCATTCGTTGTTATTGTTTAGGCGTGCCTCACTCGCAGGGTAGTTGTCGTAAGCAGTGGACGCCGTGATGCGATCATCGTGGATTGTCCCGTCCTCCATACCAAGGGGTATCGGACTGGAACACTCTGCTGGTGACAAATGAGTGAACAAATATGTATTCATAATTAATGGTAATTAAAAAACAAACACTTATCGTGAGAAAGATCATTTGATCCTAAACCGTGCTTTGGGGTAAAACGCTTAATAATAACTTCAAATTTTACCTTAAATAAATCAGAATAATAGCAGGGCCAACATGATTGCAAATATGAACAATCACCCTCCCCAAATTGGCATTAAGTAACGTTTTGAATTTAAAATGAAAATACATAGAAAATACATAGGCCATGACCATGCACCAACGGATTTTTCCGTTGTTGATCTTTTTTCTGGTTTTACTCTAGGGACTTGCATAAAATGAACTGTTTTTTTTTTTCGAAATGGGAGGAGTCGAACGTATAACATTTTTGAGTTAAACGTGAAACAAAATAAGCATGACAAGCATATCTCCTTATTTCGCACATTAGCAGGTGTTTAATGTCAATTGCAGCATCGCAATTAACATCATTCAAAATAGAATGTTCAATCTCAATGCAATACATGTATAAACTATAGAACAAATCCACACGCTTATTAGTCGAACCTCCCGTATGGGACATCGTACCAGCAGCTGGAGTACTGGGTTGCCTCCTTCCCGGGCAACGCTTTCGTATCTCTTGCATGACTTGCTTCATCCAGTCATCCGGATTATCAGGATCAGGTTCCGGTGGGGGCCGGAGTAACACACCCTCTGCTGGCTCTCCACACCAACCAAGAACACTTTGGAATAAATTGAAATAAAAACACAGATGAAAGCCAATGATGCCTAATGTAACCTAATGTAAACTAATATGCATTGTTTTTCACAGTGTATGAACAACTGTTTTCATTGAAATCGCAAAATATAATTGACGAATAAAGTGCCCGTATGGGTGTGTCTGCACATACACAAATGACGAACAGCGCTCTCTATAGTCCAATGGTGATCACCACGCCACCCCCGCTTTAGTCTGGTTCCCACACCAAACGATTCTGACTATGTCTGATAAATATTAGGTGAGGATAGTGTAGCGGAAAGTGTAGGGACGTATAGCTAGTTTATTTACTACGTCATTCGTATTGGAATAACGTAAATTCACTGTGTGTCGGTGACTGGGGGGAGCGTAAGAGCCCAGTGACCGAAATGCACGTACGCTTTTGGTTGTCAAAGGCCCATAGGTTAAGTACATGCATATGTGTTTGTACGGCGTATACATGTTCACGTGAGGGCTATTCACCTGATCGCGCGGAGGAGTTGTGCTGTGGACAGCGGACGGTGAGGTCGTGTATTGCTCGCGCTCTGTGTTTTGGGTAATGCTGACTCGCACAGTGTAAAGGCGCTGGCCATAACTGTGCTGAAATGGCGCTGTGTGATGCTGACGCGCAGCCGTACAAGTGAATGTACTGAACGATGCTGACGCTAGCTTGCATGGGTAAAGCGTAAATCAGGTTAAGGCTGAACAGCGTGTATTACTTACATCGGCGTGCATTACTTACATTGGTGGGTATTACTTACATTGGTGTGTGTTCTTTACATTACTGTACGTTGTTGACTTAGCGTTGCATTGTTTACATTAGTGTACATTGTTGACTTAGTGTGCATTGTTTACATTGGACGCATTGTTCAGGCTGTGCACGTTGCTGCTTAGGTGAGCTGTCAGTTATCTCCCAAGTGTAATTAAGTGGCCCTGATAATTAACAACCTCATTAAGACAAAAACACTACTGCACATTTCTTGATTATTGTTTAATAAATTACGATTATATTTGTGGTGCCGACATTCCTGTTGTCCAGGTGTATTTGTTGTTGGTTTATTGTGCAATTAACAGAGGGTTATCACAATCATCATAATCGGCAGTATATTTCCTCCAAAACGGACCTGCTCCCTAAGCCTTGAGGTCGCTCTGAGTGGTCTCTCGTCTTGGGAAATCTTGGGTACGGGAAGATCAGCTACACTTTAATAGGTGTCAGACTTGGTCCCAACGAACTTAGGTTTGGCCCGGAAAGATCCCCGCCACAAATGGTGTCAGAAGTGGGATGATTATAATTGATTAAGTGATTTCGCTGTTAAATTATTTGATTGCACATTGTGTTTTGACTTGTATTGCTAATTGTACTGTGGTTTAATCGGTTGTTTGCTGTTTGTTTTCGAGTGTGATTGTTGTGGTTGTTTTCAATTATGAGCAAAGGCTCGCAGGGTCAAGCGGGCACCTCAAGTGCTGAAGCCGAGGTGCAGCGACTGCGAATGGAAGCTCAATTTCTGCAGTGGGAAAAAGATCTCATTGCAAAGAAGTTAGAGGCTGCCATGGAGATGCAGCCGGGTGGTTCTCCAAAGGGAGGGGACACAATCACGCCAGGTGAGAGCCGGCGTATATTCCATCAGGTAGATACCGATGTTGAGCTGAGGGTGCCCGAAGAGACTACTGGGTATGTCTCTGGAGCAACGGGGAGACGAGAGTCAGACACAAGGATGGTGACTGACTGTGCCCACAAACGTGGAAGGGAGGCCAGCTTTATGGAAAGTACGCCTCTGAAAGACTCAGGCAGGGTCAACGCCAATCGCCTTTGAACGCAAGAGTCAAGTCATAGACGACTTGACGCTGTTCCTGTCCGGGCAAGATGGCGCGGAACAGGGTAAGCCAAGTACTAACCCGTTCGTTCGTGATATGGAAAATGTGAACCCTACACAAGTGTACAGCGATCTGCTAAGTTTCGCAACTAGACCAGTCTTGGCGAAAGACAGCAGTTCGGCTGAAAGAGTGGACAGCTCGTCAGTAGGTCCTTGGCCACTGAAACGAGAGGCACGTGTCCATGGCGACATAGATCTGAAGGGAAGTGTAGGGCCACCAAATTGTAGGCCAAATATAATCCCTGACCGGTATAGTGGGAAAGTGCTCTGGAAGGCGTACTTCCGCCATTCTGAGTTATGCCGTGAGGTAAACAAGTGGAGCGAAGAGCAAGCTGCGAAGTGGTTATCCGCAAGCTTGCAAGGGGATGCTCTACGGTTGTTGTGCGACTCAGGTCAAAAGCACACGTACAGTGCGCTGGTCGAGTTGCTTGAGCGTAGGTTTGGGTCAGCTCGACAGACTGAGAATTATCTCGTTGAGCTTAAACACCGGCGCCAAAAGCAGAAAGAGGGATTGCTAGAATTAGGTCAAGCAATCCACGAGTTAACGGTGCGCGCATACCCTTAAATACTGGAAGAGGCTCGAGAGAAGTTGGCAAAGAACCACTTCGTAGATGCCGTTGACAGCCATTCAATTAGAGAGGGCATCAACAGGGCCCGTCCAAAATTCTTGGACGAAGCAGTCCAGGCAGCCCTGGAGACTGAGAATTTTGAGAAGGTCGAACAGCATTGATTGCTGGACCGAACGCCTGCCAAATTGGCGGAGGGCTATGGACTCTGTAACAGAGCAGAGATTAGAGACTCTACAGGAAAGTCTCAATGAGCAGGCCAAGACATTGAAATCTGTGGCTGAGTTGGTCAAGTCCGACAAGAGCAAAGGCCATGGACAAAGCAAGGGCGTGGTGTCTCAGAAGACGTACAAAAGCCCGGGAAAGCCGAACCTCGAACATTTAAGTGTTTCAAATGTGGTGAGAGAGGGCTTTTCGCCCGGGACTGTAGAGGAACTCCAAAGCAGGGAAACAACGGTCAGCCCCGGAGGACCCGCGGGAAGGCTGAGTGGTCGAGAGGGTCCAAAAGTAGACTCGGTGATGAAACCAAAAATGAGAATGGGAGGTCCAAATAACGTGAGGATGGGCAACGAGTAATAACTCTGCCTGATCCAAGCCGTGGTCCTCGGTATCGGTTGTTTGTGTATGGGTTGATAAGAGCAACCAAGTGTCGATTCTCGATTGACACGGGGTCCACCGACACTCTAATAAGTGGTGCGGTGTATTACCAAATCCCAAAAGAGAAAAGACCAGTCTTGGAGACGGTAGACGTCCAGGTAAAACAGGTGGAGGGAAGCCAGTTAGCTGTGCTTGGTATGGCTCTGGTTGAGGTGCAAGTTGGTAGGACCACGCACCAAGTGAAGGCTGTTTTTGCTTAGATCAAATACAGTGGTATCCTGGGCATGAATTTTCTCATGCCAACAGGTGGAATCGTGGACTTCCAATTAAGGGAGTGGAGGCTCAATGGTGAGAAAATCAAGCTCACAAATGATGCAGGCGAGCCCTTCGTGGGAGGCGTTGTAGTTTGTAAAACTACGGTAATCCCACCGGGTCATGAAGCAGTGGTTCCCGGCAAAATTACTGGGAAGGGTCCCGAAATGCTCGGGCCAGCCATGGTAGAACCGGTGGAATGTGGTGGTGACCTACCAAAGAAAGGCTTGTTGTTGGCCAGATCTCTGGTTGAGACTGAAGCTGATGTTGTTCCGCTACGGGTCTTCAATCCCGGAAGGGAGAAAAGAGTTGCCCGTGAGGGAACAACAGCGGGGGTTATCTCTCAAGTTGAGGCAAGTTCTATTCATGATGAATTAAACGCGGAGACAAACACAGGGAAGGAGTTGCCCCTGCATTTGCAAGACTTATATGAAAAGGGTACAGCCAAAGTAGAGGCCAAGTACCATGGTGATGTCCGGGAATGTCGGATAGACTTCCAGGATGTGTTGTCCAAGGGTTTACCATGACATCAATCGCACGGACGTGGTCAAGCATCACATAAACACTGGTGATGCTAGGCCGATTAAAGAGCGGGTGAGGCGTCATCCATACCTGCATCAGCAGGAAATCCAGGGGCAAATAAGCGATCTGGAGAAGCGGGGAGTAATAGAACTCTCTGATAGTCCCTGGGCAGCTAATGTTGTCCTGGTTGACAAGAAAGACGGTAAAGAAGCGCTTCTGTGTTGACTACAGAAAGCTGAATTCAGTCACTGTCAAAGATGCGTACCCTGTCCCGCACATCGATGAAACATTCAATGCATTGCGAGGGGAAAGGTGGTTCTGTACACTCGACTTAACGTCGGGGTACTGGCAAGTCGCTCTTGACGAGGACGCCTGTCAAAAGTCCACATTTGTTGTGAGAAACGGGTTGTATCGATGGAGGTGCATGCCCTTTACATTTGGGCTTTGCAAGGACGCGCATGGCCCAGGTGAAAGAGTTCACTAGAGTGGAGGTCTTCCTAGACGGAGCTGGGAGGGAGGCCAGCTTTATGGAAAGTACGCCTGTTAAAGACTCAGGCTCAAGGATAAAATCCCGAGCAGGGTCAACGCCAATCGCCTTAGAACGCGAGAGTCAAGTCATAGACGATTTGACGCTGTTCCTGTCCGGGCAAGATGGCGCGGAACAGGGTAAGCCAAGTACTAACCCGTTCGTTCGTGATAGGGAAAATGTGAACCCTACACAAGTGCACAGCGATCTGCTAAGTTTTGCAACTCGACCAGACTTGGCGAGAGACAGCAGTTCGGCTGAAAGAGTGGACAGCTTGTCAGTAGGTCCTTGGCCACTGAAACGACAGGCACGTGTCCATAGGTTTGGCCCGGGGAGATCCCCGTCACAATAGTAAGGGGCGAGCTTTGCTGCATTTCGTATAGTTTGTGCACTCAGATCGTACAAGGGGTGAGCTTTGCTGCATCTAGTATAGTTTGTGCACTCGGATAGTACGAGGGGCGAGCTTTGCTGCATTTCCCATAGTTTGTGCACTCGGATAGTACGAGGGGCAAGCTTTGCTGCATCTTGTTTAGTTTGTGCACTCGGATAGAACGAGGGGCAAGCTTTGCTGCATCTCGTATAGTTTGTGCACTCGGATAGTACGAGGGGCGAGCTTTGCTGCATCTCGTATAGTTTGTGCACTCGGATGGTACGAGGGGTGAGCTTTGTTGCATCTAGTATAGTTTGTGCACTTGGATAGTACGAGGGGCGAGCTTTGATGCATCTCGAATAGTTTGTGCACTCGTATAGTACGAGGGGCGAGCTTTGCTGTATCTCGCACAGTTTGTGCACTTGTTAATACGAGGGGTGAGCTTTGCAGTTTGTGCATTCGGATAGTACGAGGGACGAGCTTTGCAGCATCACATTTAGTTTGTGCATCGGATAGAATGAGGGACGAGCTTTGCTGCATCTGGTATAGTTTTTGCAGTCGGATAGTACGAGGGGCGAGCATTGCTGCATCTCGTATAGTTTGTGAACTCGGATAGTACGAAAGGCGAGCTTTACTGCATCTCGTTTAGTTTGTGCACTTGGACAGTACGAGAAGCAAGGTTTGATGGATCTCGTGTAGTTGGTGCACTCTGATGATACGAGGAGCAAGCTTTGCTGCATGTCGTATAGTTCGTGCACTCGGATAGTACGAGGGGCGAGCTTTGCTGCGACATTTTGTTTTGGAATCTGACGAGGGTTACCTAGGT